CTTTCAGGGTAATTTTTTAAAGCTGCTTTTAATTCTGTAGGCACAGACAATAGCATGTAGATACCTGCAAGCATGGTCAGGTGGTTAAACTTCTTGATGCCATTATTTGCCCGCACAAAAACAGGCACACACATTTGTGTGCAAAACCAATGATAGAGACCTTTTAAATATCTGGCCCTGAATGTTTAATATCTAATCATTAGCTCAGGACATAGTAAAAACAAAGTGAACAAGGAGAGAGAAAGGATTGGCAAAGTTAATTTACTGTATTAACCTAGAAGCTAGTACCTTAAAACTAGAACACCAGGAAAAAAAACAAAAAATCCATGTCAAGTTGATCTGCTATTCATTCTTCCTCATTCTGTCTCCCCGGACATGGACACATAACACGATGGAGTAGATCTTCAGCTGTTGTAAATTGAACTTAATGGAGCTATGACAATTGAGACTAGTTAAAGATCTGCTCCAATACTTCTCCACTATAATCGTAAGCCTTTCAATTCATGCATACAACTGAACTGTCACAAGGATGGGTAACATGCACTAGAAACAGAATACAGTTCTTAGAATTCCTTATGGTTGTCAGAAGAACACCATTTGGGTTGCAACATTACCACACTTCGATCTTCAACAGGCTTTGGCAATCATGGCATGGATTGCTGGAGACACTAAATTCCTTCCTTGTTTAACCAATGTCAAAACTTATTTAGCTGTGTCCTAACAAAAGAGCTAGACCACAATGTCCGTACCAATTTCTCTATGGAATCATTGATCCTTTTTCGTTGCTTGGTCACTGCAGACATCTATATTCAACCAGTTATCTGTCAACATCTTGGCTTGGATTAATCAAGTCTGGAATGGACTTCTGACTACACTGAACTCTGAAAGACAGCTTGAAAGCTTGTCTCTCTCATCATCAAAAGTTGGTCCAATAAAAAGGTACTACCTAATGCACGTCGTCTCTTTATTATTGTGGGACCAACATAGCTTCAACAATACCACATACTCTTCACTCTTTAAGTCACCAGTGGTCCATGGACCACAATTAGGAAACTTTTACTCTATGGCGCTATTAAAATTGACCTGTCTTGCTGGATGTCTAAATCTAAACTCACTCATAATTTTGAGAAATTGCACCAGTGGAAACAATTTGGTCCAGTTCTTCAGCTGCCATAAATCATTAAGATCAATGAAACTACAGAATCCTAGAAATGGAGGGGGCCTCAAGAGATCATCAAGTCCAGTCCCTTGCCCTCATAGCAGGACCAAGAGGCTGTCAGTGGGTTGGATTTGCCCTGCCAAACCACCAGATCAGGCCCACAGCCACCTCGCCGGAATCCTTAGTCAGAGAACAAACAGCTCACTGTTTAAAAAGCCAGCTGTTCTCCACTCTGGATGGCTGGGAAGGGAGGAGGGAGAATGTCTCATGATGTTCCCACCCCACACCCCAGCAAAATATCTCATTTCCCATTGGCCAATCTCTCAGTTTCCAGCCAACAGGAACTGAGAATTTTTACTGGGAGCAGGGGCAGTATGAGAAGCTTTCTCCCTCCCTTTCCCACTAAACCTCCCCATCATGCCAGGAGCAGAGCCATGTGGAGCAACAAGCAGCCTGCAGCAATCTGCTTCAGGTTTCTGCAGGTAAGCATTTCCCAGACAGAGCCTGCCTCTGGCACCCCAGCCCTTCTCTCCACTCTGATTACCTGCCCCAGGCCACCATTCAAACCCTCAGAACTCTTTTCCTCTTTCTCCCAAGACACAACCCCCTCCCAGACCTTGCACCCCCAAAGAACTCCTCCCCAGGTCAAAATCCTCTCCTGAACCGTACAGCCTACTAGACTGTGCACTCCAAGTCCCTGCCCCAGATCACAGCCCCCTCCTTCATCCAAACTCTCTTTCAGACCCCCCACTGCCTCCTCACACCACTTCCCTATCTCAAGTTCACTTCTGCACCCAACCTTCAACCCAGACTGCACCCCCCCCCTCCACAGAAATGCAGCCCTTGGCCACTTTCCAAAATCTTGGAATGCCTCCCCCCCATTAAAAATTATTCCCCACCCCTGGTCTAGATCACCCTAGATAGATGTCTATCCAACTTGCTCTTAAATATCTCCAGGGATGGAGCTTTCACAACATCCCTAGGGAATTTATTCCAGTCTTTAACCACCCTGACAGGCAGGAAGTTTTTCTTAATGGCCAATCTAAACCTCCCTTGCTGCAAATTAAGCCCATTGCTTCTTGTCTTATCATCAGACGTCAAGGAGAACAATTTCTCCCTCTTCCTTGTAACACACTTTTAGATACTTGAAAACTGTTATAATGTCCCCCCTCAGTCTTCTCTTTTCTAAACCAAACAAGCCCAATTCTTTCTGTCTTCCTTCATAGCTCGTGTTTTCTAGACCTTTAATTATTTTTGTTGCTCTTTTGTAGATCTTCTCCAAATCTTTCTTGAAACTTGGTGCCCAGAATTGGACACAATACTCCAACTGAGGACTAATCAGTGCAGAGTAGAGCAAAAGAATGACTTCTTGTGTCTAACTCACCACACTCTTCTTAATGCATCCAAGAATCATGTTTGCTTTTTTTGCAACTGTGTCACACTGTAGACTTATATTTTAGCTTGTGGCCCACTATGACCCCTAGGGTATGTCTAGACTACATGGCTCCGTCAACGGAGCCATGTAGATGAGTTTACTAGACATAGCAAAATGAAGCGGCGATTTAAATAATCGTCGCTTCGTTTACATCAAACTGGCCGTCGTGCTGTGCTGACGATCAGCTGATCCGGCACAGTGGGTAATCTAGACTCTCTGCGGTTGACAAAGGAAGCCTTTGTCGACCACTCTGGTAAACCTCGTTTCATGAGGCATACCAGAGCGGTCGACAAAGGCTTCCCGTGTCAACCGTGGAGCGTCTAGACTTCCCACTGTGCCGGATCAGCTGATGGTCAGCACAGCACGGTGGCCATTTCTGCAGTACTCTTCCCAGACAGTTACTTCCCATTCTGTATGTGTGAAATGGATTGTTCCTTCCTAGATGGAGTACTTTGTATTTGTTCTTATTAAACTTCATCCTATTTACCTCAGACCACTTCTCTAGTTTGTCCAGATCATTTTGAATTATGACCCTAGTCTCTAAAGCACTTGCAACCCCTTTCAGCTTGGTATCATCTGTAAACTTAATAATCATACTCTCTATCCCAATATCTAAATCGTTGAAGAAGATATTGAACAAAATTGCTCCCAAACCAGACTCCTGTGGAACTCCACTTGTTATGCCCTTTCAGCATGATTGTGAACCGATAATAACTACTCTGTGAGAACGGTTAACCAGCTAGTTATGCACACACCTTATTGTAGCCCCATATAGGTTGTATTTTCCTAGTTTATTGATAAGAAGGTCATATGAGGCCATATGAAATGCTTTACTAAAGTCTAGGTATACCACGTCAACTGCTTCTCCCTTATTCACAAGACTTGTTATCCTATCAAAGAAAGCTACCAGATTAGTTTGACAAATGTGTTCTTTACAAATCCATGCTGGCTATTACCTATCACTTTATTTTATTCCAGATGTTTGCAGAGGAATTCTTTAATTATTTGCTCCATTATCTTCCCTGGCACAGAAGTTAAATTGACTGGTCTGTAGTTTCCTGGGTTCTTATTTCCCTTTTTATAGATGGGCACTAGAGTTGCCCTTTTCCAGTCTGCTGGTGTCTCTCCTGATTTCCATGACTTTTAAAAGATAATAGTTAAAGGCCCAGATACCTCCTCTATCATCTTCTTGAGTTTTATAGTTAATACCTCGTATCAGCTTAAAAACAGCTGAATGGATATTTATCATAGTAATGTGCATGGATCTCACCTAGAGATGTCAAAATGTATTTATTTTGGTATACGTGTTCCTGC